TGTCAGGTTTGGCGGGGGTTATTCACACTTCTTTTCAGAACAGTAGTTTTTGCAGATATAAAATGGTTTATCAAGGAATGAATTCGAAAGAATCGGTAGGAACAAATGAGAAGATCGATTATTATGATTCAAGTGATGAAGAGGTTAAATGTCAATGGATTTATTCTTTGTTTTTTAGTTTCATTGTTGTAAAATTGTTGTCTTAAAACAATGTACGAAATGATAAAGAAAGAGCAGCTGAAATAATTGTGACTCGTTACAGGACCTAAGAAATACGATAGGTAACATCCCGGTTTCATGGTATGATGATTTCAATCATATCGGTTATGATAAAGACGGAAATCCAATTGAATCGGCTAAAATAAAAGATGATATAGAAGAATTCTTGGATCGAATGGACGATCCTAATTACTGGTTAGTTATGTGTACTTTTTGTTTTCTATATTATTGAAATTAACTACTCGAATTAATAACTTTTGGTGCTTATATAAAAGAAGCTGTTTAATTTTTAATAAAAGAAAATATATTTCAAACTCTTTCTTCGGTACAGATTGCGTGCTTCTTGTTTATGCAAAAATGTTGAAATTATTGTTTAAATGTCTGTTTCGTTTTAATATCTCTCTGAATGTTTGGAAAAGCTTATATGCGAAAAGAATTGTTACAGGATAAAAGTTTACGATCGGCAAAGCGGTGGTTTTGTCACTTTAAGCGATGAAGAAGTGAAAAAGCTGAATGCACTGAATGCATCAAAATGTCCATCAGTCGGTTACAATCCATATCAGCCATTTTTGGACATTTTCTCATCACAAACAGAAATTCATCCAATATCGAATCGTCCAGATTCCAAACGTTCATTTATTCCTTCACTGGATGAAAAACGTCTTGTTGGTTAGTTTTTTTTAGCAGATTATACGCAGATTATACAATTACTTTTCAAATTAATTACTTTTTCAAATTTCTTCCGACACCATTTTGTATGCTTCCATAAACATTTCTTATTTTTCAGGAAAGATGGTGCATGCCATCAAAATGGGTTGGGTACGACCATCTCGACCAAAAGAGATTGAAAAAAAGGTATGATTAAGACACTGTGCGGGTGTCAATTCGAGATACTTTTTCATATCGCTTTCTGAATTTGTTACAGGTTTATGACTTGTGGGCTGATGATTCGTCCAAGGAAAAAACGAAAAGTGAATTAGCTAGGATACGAATGCATTTTCCTGCGCCAAAAGTTTCCTTGCCTGGACATGCTGAAAGTTATAATCCGCCGGCAGAATATTTATGTGATGAGGAAGAACTGAAGAAATGGGAGGTTAGTTTTTAATAAAATTTCTTTGCTATGTTTGCTTTCAAATGATTTTTATTTGATATGTGTTCTTTATATTTCTTGCTGAAATGACATCACAATTTGTGATTTAAAAAAAAATATCAGGAAATGGATCCAGAGGACCGACGACTGGACTTTGTTCCAAAAAAATATGATTGTTTGAGGAAAGTGCCAGCATATGATCGCTTTTATAACGATCGTTATCAGCGATGTCTTGATTTATATTTAGCTCCACGACAAAGGAAAATGAAGGTATTTTAGTTGACATATTTTAAGCTTGCCCAAGTGAAATTGGGGTTGATTCTATTATCTTTAGTTGTTGAACGCAGCTGTTTAATATTTTATTAAGAAATTGGTCTGGAAAGTTCATATATATGTAATCTTTTTCAGTTGAATGTTGACCATACGGAATTGCTTCCTGAACTTCCTAATCTAGCTGAAATGCGTCCTTTCCCAACGATACAGAGCCTGGTAGGTTTTACTTTTTTATTTTATGTTCATGAAATACAAATTGTTGATAAATCTTCGTGACATGGATTAGATTCCAAGTCTGATGAATTCATTTTGTTTAATTTTTAAAGCGTATGCTTGGTCATTCCGGGCAGGTGAGGTGTTTGTCGTTTGAACCTGAATCGACGGAAATCTTGGCATCAGGTGGTGAGGATGGAACGCTGCGATTATGGTCTATATGTGACGGGAGATGTCTCAAAGTACTGGTTTTTGTACATTTTTTTTTAAAACAGACTTAGCCATCGTGATAGAAAGTCTTCAGAATGTTTTTGCAAGCTTAGAGACTTTGAAGTAAGTTCGAGAATACATCCATTAGCATAGATACATCGACTTGTTATTAGTTTTTTATCTGGGTATTTTTTAGAGTTCTTGTTCCCATTATTATTTGAATTATCTGTATAACATTGGCACACTTCGTGAACATCTATTAAGGTTTGTAGTAAAAAGTAATAAATTTTGTAAGTTTTCGAATAATATCATCATATCTCTACTCCGATTACATTCTTAAATTCAATTTTTATGATAAAAAAGGAAATCATTATAGACGACAAACTTAGAAAGTCCAATAACTAATGTGGCTTATTGTCCTCTTACGCAGTGGACAATTTTGGCTGTTACAATGGAATCGAACAGAATGATTTTGGCGAATTCTTACTGTGGAGATCGCCATCGTATTACAGCTACTACAGAATATTTATCAAAACTTCGATGTGAATCTTCAGAAAGTGATACTTTAAAATGGAAATATGAAGGAAAGGGGAAGATATCAATTGATCTTGGATATGTGGGTCTACTTTGAAGTTCTTCATAATTTTTGTAGTGTATGCATGCGTTATTTTGCTTCGAGGAAATGGATATCATTCCATCCATGTTGTTATTCTACTAACTAAATTGTTATTCTACTAACTGATATATATTATAATCGTCTAATTCCATTTACGAAGTTCAAGATTTTTTTATTTATGTTGTTAAAGTTATTATCGATGAACTTCACAGTTAATTACTGGGTGTAATGTAATCTTTACTACAGTTATCTTTATATTACAGAGTGAAATTACATTGAGAGTACATTACATTTTATTTCTTTAGATTGCACGTCAAGTAGTATGGCATTACAAAGGCGATTATTTTGCAACATTCGCTAATTCGAAGTCGCCGAAACTTATTTATATACATCAACTTTCAAAATGTAAATCTCAGGTGAGCAATAATCTTGCAATGAATAAAGTAAAATTGTCGAAATGTGAAATTCCTGAGTTTCAGCTTAATGATTGCTTGAAGTATTAATGATTTCAGCGACCCTTTTCTCGCTTAAAAGGTCTTATGACAGTATTGTCATTCCATCCATGTGAGCCACTTCTGTTTGTTGGAACACAAAGACATATACGAATTTACGATTTGGCAAAGTGTCAGCTGAAAAAGAAAGTCATGACCGGTTCACAGTGGTTAAGCTCCATGCATGTTGATTTTCGAGGAAACAATGTGTTTGTTGGCGGCCATGATAGGATTTTTTCATGGATCGATTTACAACTTTCTAGTAAACCGTGGAGAAGTGTCAAACATCATACGGCTGCTATTCGTGCAGTGACACAGCATTCAAGGTTTGTTTCCAATTGTTCTAACTTTTTCCATTGGAAAGAGAAAAACTTAGATGAGCAAGTGATGCCGTGCCTCTGTTGAGGCATAATTATTTTAGTGGGTTCGTATCTCCTAAGAGTCTGTAGATTTTTGGATTCACTGCCTGAAACACTAGAAATATTCCTTTGTTTATTGCGTCTAATACATTTGCAATGTACATCTGTTGAAATGTGAGTAAGATCGTGTACTCCATGCTCTTATTTGATCTCAGAAGTGAGAAGGATCTTAGTGAATAATAATATTTTATATTTCGGGGCACTGTGGATTTGAAATTTTGTTTTCTTTCATGAAGGACGAATAATGTCGTTAAACAGAATGTTGTTATTTACAGGACTAAAGTGTATTTCTTTCATTAGTAAAGGTTTTGACTTCAGGAATTTGATTATTGTCCCGTTCAAAACATTTTAAAGATATCATATCTTCTAAATTCATATTGCTTTTTTTTTAAAGTTTTCTGGTGGCATGGGAAAGGAAGTGAATATACTTTTAAATTATTTGAGAAATACAGTTTTTAACACTTCAGAAATTTTTTGATACCGTTTCAGGAAGTTTCTTGGTTTTTCAGGTATCCATTAGTAGCAACTGTATCAGATGATTCAACCGCACTTGTGTATTATGCCCGAATCAACAGTGATCCACTGAAAGAGAACGAATTCGTGCCAGTACGAAGGTTGCATACCCAAACACCTCAGAAAAATGGTCTTTCAATTTTAGCCGCAATATTTCATCCCTCGCAACCGTGGCTGATAACTGCACATGCCGATGGTTCGATTGCCTTATTTACTTAAGCTAGTTGGATAGTACAATTATGGAAGATATTTCTAATTTGCTTACCATTAATTTTCAAATTCTTGAAATTCATTAATAATAGTCGCAGATGTTTATCTGTCACATTATTCTATTGATTAATCTGCCTCCAGCTGCTGTAAAAGCTTGCTCATTAAATAATTGTTGTTTCTGTTTTATTGATGAAATTTTGTTAACTTGGTAGTTGGGTATTCAAAAGTGAAGTTTTAAAAGAGTAGTTAACTATCAAACTAACGTGCGACGTTGACGCGCTGTTAAAAGTTTTGTACATTGCGTTTTATGTTTTATACAAAGATCAGATAATCTTAATCTTTGCTGGCGTTTAATACTTTGTCAGAAAAGAAACACAAATTTCATTATGAACAACACTGGAACTTAAAAATAATGTTTCAACAGAAACAACTAAACGGCGAAAAAACTATTAACAAAATATTTCTATGTCTGGTCGAAATCCAAGTAAAGGATTTTGTAGTGCGTTGATTGAAATTCTATTTAGGTCAAATAGAGTTTTTATTCAAGTGGAATTCTTTAGCATGTTGGTTGATACTATTCCACTTCTTTATGAATGTAATTTGCACAAAAAGAATAGCGGTAGGATTTCGGTAGGAGTTAAAATTTCGTGTGACTGTGAAGCTAGAGAGCTTTTGTTCAATTACCATTAAGTTAAAGCTTCGGATTAATTGTTTTAAGGAGTAACGAATTTGGTGGTACTTAGCTCTTAGTATTTCTTTTTGTAATTTCCTGTTAGCCTTTGGAATACATAATGAGCAACAACAATAGCCTGCACGGCTGTGATAGTAAGAAGAAGACCAAAAATAGCAAGTAGTGATACTTTGGCCATACACAATTGTCCTGGTAGAGCGGTTATTGTCATCTCCGGTTCCTGGAAATGATTTTCTCAATCTATAATTGTTTAGACATTTTATGGTTATGTTAGAAAATGGAAAAATATGTAAATCAGACTTCTTGCATAAGATCGAAAGTTTGTGATCGTGCAAGGGCAGCTGGTTCGGCAACTTGTTGAAGAGGATCTATCACTACTACAGATGTTGTGGCTTGAGCGCGTTTTGGGATTCTGTATCTTTCCGTCTCATCTGAAAAATTAATCTATGAAAGATATAAAGTTTGAGTTGGTGTAATTATAATGACGTTGTACACTTGCAACCAAGTGACAGTTAGCCGTGTGATTCTCGTAAAAAGAACTGAATTGGCTCTACTGTGCTTCTCTGGACCTCAGTGTCGAGAAAACCAAAATGCGGGGTGAACCCATTTAACCCACCCAGCAATACCAATATCGTTAACGCCTCTACTTACAATTAGTAACTGAATTGACTGTACTGCGCTTCTTTCGACCATATGATTGTTTTTGTTCTTTGTCCAGCTGACATGTCACCTAAAAGAAAAAATTTCATTCCACAGTATTGATGAAACGAAATTCGTAGATAATCAAAGTAACTGAAGCCTTAAAAACACTTCTACCCAGTTTATTTATCATAATTAAAGCGGAGAAATCTACAATGATGATATATCACCTCTTTACAGCTTTTCATGCAAATATCCAAATGACATGTTATTCTGACAACACTGGACGAATCAAATCGAAACGCTTGTAAATGTGCTATCTTTACTGAGGAGGACATCACTTCTATCGGCTCAGGCATAATTTTCTGCGATACAGCTGGCGTTGGACAACTGAAATGGCATTAGTAAATAAATGACAATAGAAATAACATTCAACATTTAAACTGAATCTTTTCAATATTAAAAATAGCTCCAGTTAATGAATTTTGAAAAATATGCAATGTGAACTGATTTTACCGTTTCTTTATACAAATCACAAATTTCGATCATTTTTTTTCGTTTTGTTTTTATGTTAAATGAAGTAATTACCCATTTGCAATAAGCTGCAAATTTTCTTCTGCATTTATAGTCGTAGTTCCCGGTTCAGCAAAACAATCTCGAACGAAGAAATCAAGCTCTTCATCCATTGCCATTATTTCCCAACGTAATTGCAGGATGTCACCCAATTTTGCCTTAAAAAAGCGGCAAAATTTTACAATGTTTTTGTTTTTTCCAGCTGAAAAATCAATGCTATTAAATATGAACTATCTAAATGAATCATAAAGTAAATTATTTATAAATTAGCACTTGTAGAACAGGTTGATAGTCTCCTTGTCCGCTCAACATTTGCATTAGCACTGGATTGCCAAGTTCAATTTTTCCTCGAGGTTGAATAAGGGATGCCTCAGGACCACTGAAATTTTTTCTTATTATTAAAACATTACTATTATCCTATACATTTGGAAATGAATAATCTTTTCTTTTATCAGTGGAAGTAAAGATTATCAGAAATTAATTGAAAATTTAAGGTGCAAAATTGCTTACTCAATTGTAAGATTAGCACCAGCAGTAACTTTTCCACCAAGCATTGAACTGTAATCACAGCTCACTTCAAAAATCTGATCCATAGAGGTTACTAGTCCAGGTATACCTAAATTATTCGTCTGGACAACTACCGTTGATTTGTAAGTACCATTATTCTGAAAGCAGTATTATCAGTAATAAAAGTAATTTCATAATTCCTTTCAATTTTCTGGGATTCTAGAAACTTGCGATTCTAGAACTATTTAAAAAGTTAGGTAACTCACTATCATTTAAAATGGTGGTAAGTTACCTAATTTACTTGTTAAAGATCATAATAATTTTCATCAGGAGGGTATGTGTCATGCTGAACAGACCTAGTAAAACAATAGTGAAAGTGTCCTAGGCCATTGCAAAAGAAATTTATTGTCTAAATTGCATTTACCATATCTTGGATTCCGCAATCCCTTTGTAGTTCGACAGCCTGCCGCCTTATGCGCAATTCATCCGCTGGTTTATCCAATTTATTACCTTCCGTTATTGATTGTTGGATATTTGCGTGATCAGCGGCATCCTTTTCGTTAGATACCATTTTTGAACCAAAATTTGGTGGTAAACCAATTACTAACGTTGCACTTTCACTATCCGTAACCTCTACCCGACAAGTTTCATATTTGTTTTTAACAAACATCACTCCCGAGAATGCTTCTTCATTTCTCACCTGCAATTTCACGATGCATATAATTGAAGAGTAATCAGCAAGTTACTATTATTAGTTAAATATTTAATTAAGAATAACCTGCACTTTGATGCCTTCATAATTACAAATTGTTTGCACTGCATCTGGAGAAATTTGCACAACAGGTCCTGGAAGTTTTCCGGACGAGGAAATGGTGAATGTTGCATCAGCTGATGATCCTGCACCTCCATTTACTTTTCCGGAAGGCGCAACTGCCCTTACCGTCTCTGGAGCTCGTCGTTGCGCTTCTTGTTCACGTAAGAAAGGCTTTGTCTAAAAGTTTTCACTTCTGAGTTAGCTCACTTAATTCTTTTGGTAAATGCCTCAAACACTTTTCAAGTTTAATGGTTTGTGCTGAAAAGCAGCTGAAAACTAGAAATTAGAGAAACTGTGATTGTAAACGTTTACTTTTGTTGCAATAATGTGTGATTTAGCTTCTTGTTTGTGAGAAGCTAACGATTCTGAAACATTCTGAAGCAGATGTTTGGGAACATTTGCAGCGGCACTGTATTCCGATTCCACTTCTTTCACCATACAAAGATTTTTGTAAAAGTCGGTGAAGTCATTTGGTTTTCCATTTCCTTCGATCTTATCAAACAGTTCACAACGGCCATTTCTTCTGTTGTAATTTACACCTTCGCAACTAAACAATTTAATTTCAAGACAAAGATCAAATTTCAATCATATCATTTCAAATTTCGAGATTTATATTTTGTGAATGGTAAGATTATAAAAATTTACAGTTGATTTTAATTGAATAACCTTATGGAAGAGTCCAGAAAGATAAAAAGATAAAGTGAAATAAATTTTCAACAAATATAAAATGAACCTTCCGGAAGATGAGCAGAGATTAAGACAATTTGTGAGAGCAGTCGTTTCATAAAATTGCGATGGTACTCCATCATATATACTATATAAATATCTCGAAAATCGTGTCACATCATTTTGTTGTGCGCATACTTTCGCTTCTGAAAAAAAAAAGCATTTTGATAATTTCTATCACTTTTTATATCTATTTTCCAGAAAACTGAGCGAAAGATGTTTTTTGTCCTATTCGATATAATTCGTTCTTTCCTTCATTTTTATGAAATCAAAATTTACGAATTATTTAAAAATAAACGTATTTCTTAAAAATTGAAACATTATCTTGTATGATTAAGATTAACGAAAATGTATTTCGTCTCTTCAGAATGGCTAATTCGTTAATAGATTCTGATGTAGTAAATTTATGTCAAGGAATTCAAGATCGTTCCTCTCCTCGTTCTTGTCATTTATGTTGTACAAAAGTGATAGATTATCCTTCCTTCTCCCTCTATCAGTGATGAATAATTTGAATCTATCTCTATCACATAGATATATAAACTGATGAAAGAGAATTTTCAGAATGCTTCTTACGATCGAGGCAATGAAGGTCATAGAGATCAATGCCCGAATGAACTGCAGGTCGTAAGGTTGTTTTCCCATCAACATATAACAGATCACAATCAGATGTCTGTTTATCAAAATTGAATGCACGACATTTCTCGGGAACCATTTCGTAACATCTGAAATCAACAACAACAACAACAGCAATTCTCATTGAAATTAAAAATGCTACCATACATATCATTATACTCTTTCTCATATGCAACGGTACCATCACAGTTACAACGAAATTCATCACTCGCATAATTTAGCATTTATGTGATTGAGTATGCACACTTTGGAGACAAAATATGCTAAAAACAAACTTTGTCATACAATCAGCAACTGAATTTCCAGCTGATTGCAAAATATGAATCGATCCTTCACCTTCAGGAAGTGCTGCATTGACTGTACGTACGGTATGTAATGTTGTACCGTTTGGACATGTTTCAGGATGCAAATGACAAGTAATATCAAAGTAATCAACCTAAAATGAGCAATTTAATTGGCGTCTAAGGGAAGAAAGAGCGAATTGCAAAGATTTTGAATTGCTTTCCTTTTCTAATCATGTAATAAAAAAACAAACGAACTTAATTGAAGAAATATAAATGATAAATTCAATCAAAAATTACAGCAAATCTTCCAATTTTTTAGAAAGTAGGTAACAAATATACAAAAGTATTCCTGTTTGCTAAATCAGTTCAACATGAAACAAATAGCTTATATATTAGGAAAAATTTTTCGCTTGAAGTAAAATAGTCCTGAATCAATTTTGAAATTCGAACTTGAAATTCCTCTCCTTCCGGTATAAACAAATCCGGCTTATTTTCTCGTGTTTCAGCATTTAAAATACATTCTTGCTCATTGTAATAATACATTACAGATTTGCACTCGAAATTTTCTCCAGTTTCTGGTGGTGGACTGAAAATGAAAAAATTTGTCGTTCTCCAACTAAATCATTAAAAAAAGTTACCGTAGACATTTAAATCAGAAATTAAATAAATTATTTAACTCTTATAATGGTATTAAAATTATTCCAAAAAATGGATTGCAATAGTGATAATATTTTCGTTTTTCTATTTCACTCATACACATATACATTCACAGATACACAAATATACATATATATATATATATGTATATATATAAGATATCATCGGACTCTTCGGTTAAAGGTCAACCTATAGCGACACATATACGGAGCTCGTTTGATAATGGAGATATTGATATCTTAAATCATTAAGTAATGTTAATCACTTTGTGCACTGATCAAGACACATTGTCACCGAAGGTACATTTTCCATAACAAATGCAGCAAAACCAACAAGTATCATTTGTGGTACACGCTCAAATGACGGTACATTACGACATGTCCGTGGTGCTAAAATTTATTAAAATATGAGTTGAAAAAGAATAATATTTTCAAGATTATTTGATATGCCAATTAATTTGTTAAAGAGCAATATAAAATCAAACATCATTTTGTTTTGTCGTATCAACTGCAAAAAGAGTAAATATTAAATAATTTCACTATTTTGAAAATTTACATGCAAAACATTTTTTCTCATAGTATGTAAAACCGTTAGCTTCCACCAAATTGCCACGACCAAGCGGCTTGGAACGTTCATCCGAAAGTATGCAAGCGTTAGTTTCCGGATTATGCATAAATGATTTACAGTTGAAATCGTTGGCCTGAATAATAAGTACTTTCAGTATTTGGTTAAGCAATTCTTGCTTTATATTAACATTTTGAAAGAGGAAAAATAAACCTCAAAGATGAACTTCTTATAGTAAAATTTTTTAATTTGTCGAATTTAAATTTAATTTCAAGATTTATATTATTATTCCTGAAGCAGTTTACCGTTGTAGACAGTCGTTGTGTACACAATGATTCGCATGATTCTCGATCAGCTATCAGTTGTCTGTCAAGTTCATTAGCTAACTGGCTATTTGCGACGGCAATATATTGTGTGATGTATGGTGCATAACATTGCGCTGAAATCTATTCGAACTTATCATTGTTATCATTAATAGTTATCAGATCAGTGATCTTAATAAATGATTCTATTTGAAAAGAAACACTGCCCTAACTGTTGTTGTTTACAGTCAGCTTTTTGATCATAAATATCTCAGACGGTGATCGAACGAACAATGGGTTGCGGGATTTTTGATTCATCAGAAATGATAAGCGTCGAAATGCTAAATCGAGGACATTACTTTCACTCCTATAATGAAGTATCTATGAGGAAGAATGCTAGAAGGTTAATGATTAGATAATATATCATAAAGTAATATACATCCGGCGCAATTGTTGTCCAAGTAAATAACATTATCATCCAATTCATCCACAAACAAATCGGGTCGGTCCAAACGATCTTCAGTATTCAGAATGCATTCCGAATCAACCGGATAGTACATCACCGACTCACATTCAAAACCGAATGAATCAAATGCATTCAAACAAGCTGCTAGACATACTGATAATGAATCAGCTGATACGACCTATAAAAGATAAATAAACAAAACAGAAGCAAGAAAATGCATGTAATAAAAACTTCAATTAATTATAAAAATTTAATTCCTGAATAACAATTCCAAAAAAATACCCATATCTATTGCTGTAATTACAACGACTCTTTCGGTTCAAAACAACAATTAGGCCAGAAATAATAGACACAGTCTATTGCTATTTGTCAAGTTCACAGTGCTCAACCTTTAAAAAGAAACAAACCTCGCGAGCAAAGCCGACTAAAATTTTTTGTTCGTACACATCGAATTGAAATGGAGATGAGCAGATCCGAGCACTCTATAAATTAAATTTTATTAATTTGTAATTTAATACTAAAAATTTTATGAAAAATAATTTGCATTATACCATCGTTAAATGCTACTTCCTTGCCCCTTCCATGCATTTATTTTATTCTTAAGAAATTCAAAGAAAAATGCAAATGCCACAATACTGTTTTACTTATTTGCGATATATCCACTTAGCCAATTCAACATTATCATATCAGTAGAATGATGAAGAAAGACTGTGAAAGTTATTAAAATCATTTAAAATCACAATAATGGAAGTGTTTCATAAATGAATTCAACTGTATCTCATCGTAATTCAGTAAATTATTTGCAAAAATAATGAAATAAAATTACTTTAGCGCAATTTTTACTCAACAACATGTAATCATTTGAACGTTCGGCTGGTTCACCAATACTTGATAACATCTTGCACTCTTTATCTTTATAAGTTATCGCCAAACATTCCTGAAATTTGCTTTATAATATTTTTCATCCAAGAATTAAAATAATTTCAAAAAAAAAATGTCTCAAAAATTAAACTGACATCATTAGTGGAACAAAGATCGGCACAATCCACAAGATTTGCTGTTGAAGCCCGCTTTAGAATCTTGCCTGCGGTAGCATTATGTTGGAGTAAAAAGACCGGTGATTCACCTTTGCTACATGTTGGATACGATGCTGCAAATTTAAACATTCTTTTCATTTAAAACATTCAAAAATTTCATTTCTAAAAATTTCAAAAACTTTATCCTTTCAAAATTGTTTATATAAAGTTGTTAAAGTTCCTAGAAAAATTAAACAAAATGGTAGGAAATGTTAAGGCAGAATTAGAGGCAATGTCAGTTTTATTTCGCTTTCTTTTTACTTCTTTATGCTTCACTCTGCAAAGATACCTTCAATTTGAAGACATAAAAAAGTAAAGAACTTGAAATTCATTTATTATTCAAAAAAATTTTTTTTTTGAATAGCTCACTTGCCATCAATGATTTAAAAATTTTGAAATTCATCTATCATTTTGAATAGTTCATTTACCGCTGACGATTTATTTATTTAATTAATAATGAAAAAAAGTTCTTTTCATTTTTTGCTTGAAGAAAAAAAAGTTGGAAGGAAAGAGACATATTTTTCTGTGCTTTGACATGCTATTTCATTCTTTCAAATTTCAAACAATATTAATTAGAGAATAAGAAAAAAGAGCGGAATTATTATTACATTAAAATGTTCACATTTGTATTTTTACAATAAATATTGCAATCGTTTCCGATGAAGATTAGCCAAGTGATGTGATTTTTACAGTGTAAAAATTGTTCATTCTTATAACCCAATTTTCAATAATTGTAATAAAATAACAGCTTATTCTTTTGCTATTTTCTCAATACAGTCAATTTAAATGAGAGATTGTATGTCATCAATGTAGGGGTCAATTTCAAAAATAAGACAACTTATTCCACTTTTTTATTCCGCAAAATGTATGTCATCGAACTGACAGAAATGCTTTGATATTAGACAATCAAACATTGATGGCTCCTAAAAAGTGACAAATTTGCGAGGTTGATTCAAAAATTAACAAAAATCATTTGGTAAAACATTACGATATTATTAAAAGTACTGCAATTTGATTAAAAAAGAATTTGAAATTTCATATACAACACAAAATTGAAGAAATATCTTCATTTCAATTCTAAGCAAAAATATTCATTTATCATTCTGTCTTCACTCTTTTTTTTCTGATCAACAGCTGTCATCTTTAGGAGTAATGTCACCTTTACTAACAAAACCTGCCATATCAATTTAGAAGAAATAATTCATCATTTGAATTGAAAATTGACAATAGTACAAAACCAGAAAAGCAGCTATTTGTTATTTTGTAATTAGTTAAACGGTTCCAAGCGATTCTTAGTTAGACAATCTTAATTTTTTAATGCATTTTGTGAATTAAATGACTAAAGTTTAGAAAAAAGTTTTCGGAAAATTTGGGCTAAATCATTTTAAATAGCTTCAAAGAGCAAACTTTCATAATAAATGTTCGTGTTTTTTGAAACAAATGGAGCGATTTGATAGTTAATTCATGTTTCAGGTCCAGAAAAATTTAATGAGAAAATTAAATTCTTCAACTTGAGATGATCGTACAACTAATTATTCATATGTATTGTATAATGATATTGTAGTATGTATAGAATGGTAATATGAATTATAACTTGAGCGAATGTCTCAACAAAATTACTACATTAACTTTCCGATCATTTTTGAAATTTAGGACTGAAATGGAGAGAATATAAAATTTTGGATCGGAAATAAGATTTATCATCCAAACAATGTGCATATAATAGTAGACGAACTTTTTGTTTTCTTTCTTTTTTATTACTTTTTTCCTTCATTTATTTCAATAAATGAATGGAATCCAATTGCTTCGATAGAAATAGGAAATGATTGAAAAATATAACTTTTTTTTTAAAATCTTTTTTTGACCTTTTTTTAACTTTAACTTTTTTTTGAAGATGATTTACAAATCATTTTCACTGTACAATTTTTATTCCAACTTACGTACAAATTCATATTTCAAACTAATTTTAGTTGCTAGTTAGGTTTAAATTACCATTAAAATCAGAACTAAGAGTTAAAAAATTGAAATTAATTGGAAAAGTTTGGAAAGTGTAATCATTTATCGACATTATTCTTTCAACTGCAATCTGATAATATCACAATTTCTGATAATTAATATATTATTCTTCCAACTCCGATCTGATAACGTCACAATTTCTTATAATTAATATATTATATTCTTTTATGAAACAACCTTTTAGTTATATTGGCTCTATGGCATTTTATGAAATTTCATAAAAACTATGAAACTGTGAGTGAAACTCATAAACACTATGAAACTCATAAAGGATGGTAGCTGTAAATTAGTGACAGTGTAAAAATAAAAAAACTTACGAATTTCTTGTATTTCGGTTGAAGCTAATACAGAAAAACATGTAATTATGATAAGATATGAATAATAATAGAGAGGTGATAATGCATCACTGTAAAGATGCATATTAGAAGTGCTCCGGTCGGTTGAGCTCTTGAAATCTACCCGAATATTGTTATTGCCCTGAAGGTAATAATACTGGCAGTGATGAGATGATAATGATCAATGGGACAGTTTGATGACCAATCAAGAACAGAAATGCCTGTTACTTTCAGAAACCGAAATGAAATGATAGATGAAGTAGGAGAGGACGAAGTTTATTGGTGCTACTGCTATTAGTATAGAGAAGATTGTGATGGTGAGATGATTAGAAAAGGGCGCAAATCTCATTTTAGAGGTCAATGACAGTTACCCCTTTCGGCCATCTTCTTCAACCTCTTGAAAGATTTTAGGCGACAAAGAAATTATAGGCGGAAGGTTTTCCCATTCTAATTTACATCTATTCCTGTCAAACTTAACAAACATAACTGTACACACGCATTAACAACACAGTAACACTCCACTGTTTTGTAGAGCCTTCCGTTTTACCCTAAATATCCTGCAATAAGGATCCCTCCCCTCTCATCACTTAAACAGCATCTAAAAAATTCAGGGCAAATAACAGTGCTGAAATTTATCAACTATGACTTTTTCAAATTTCATACTTCTCTGCGGAGATTTATCTGCATTTTTCCCAATTAAATACATTTTTTTTAAACCGGAACAGAGTGACTTTTCATCCATCAAATCGTTCCTATTTACTCTCAATAAAACCTTGTCTTTAAAAAATGCTTTTAATTAAATTGCTTATTCCAAGATTTCTTAATGCAATGATTACCACTATTATTCATTTTAATGTTGTCAGAAATTGAACGAATTAACAGATCGAATGCCCAACCACAATTTACATTATCATATTACTACAGTTATAACTCAAAGCATATCATATCACTTTTTAATATTCAATTATTTACGAAAAGATATTATTTTTGGATGAATTTTAGTTGTTATATTGTAATTGTTATTTTTACGTCATTCATCTGAAGAGTGCAAATTCCGTTCAAATTTTTATCATTTTACTATATATGCTCGATCTTTATTAAATAGGTCAATCAAATTGTGCAAGAAAAAAATATTTGAAATTAGGGAATGAAATAAAGTCATGAATGTCTGAATTGCAAGGATGTGTGGCAGCACATTCACGTATGATGATATAAGAGATCTTTTTGGTGAGAAGAAGACAAACACATTTGGTGACACTTTCTTACACTGATCTATATTTAGGTCACTCTTGCTGTCCTTTTATATTTTTCCCCCTCTTATCACATTTGCTCATTTTTTTGCAAAATTTCAGTATAAAATCATTGAATAGTTTTAAAGTAATTCTTCTATTAATAATAGGATTGAAGTGAAAAAGAAAGTGTCAATCGATATTTATTGTTTCATCTGGCACTTTTCTTAAAAACTAAACAAATGATGGACATGCAACCAAACCATGCATCAAACTTCAATGTTACATCAATTGAAATATGACAGAAAATGACGAATTAAGGAATTTTGTGCCCAACAGATCCTTCTGAAAAATTGAATTTACAGATATTTTTGATCTAAGAAATAAACCGAGCATATAAATCACCTATTTTGAGCATTTCTTTTTTTCTAAGATAGGATTCAGAGAAGATTGAAAAAGACGCAAATTGAAAGACCCCACGGTTTTGACTTTGAAATGTGAAAATTGCACATTCCATCTTCTCAAAATTATAAAAATGCTATTTCAAGTACATTGATTAATAAATTCATTCATTAATTAATGAGTTTACTATTTTTTCTGCTTTTTAAGATTTTATTTGAATTTAATTTGTACAAAACATATTGCGGAACAAGCTGTGGATCAATTTACCATCCGAGAATCAAGGGCGTTAGAACTGTCAATCGGTCATTAACCGAACGTTGCAACTATCTCGCATAGAATCTTTGTAAGAGACCTTTAATTAATTTACTAATTATATAGGCATGCTGACTGTTATAATGTCAATTGAATGGTTAACTGAAATCTGTTTTTATTTTCTCCCTAAACATTCACAAAGAAAGTCTCAATGAATACTGAACAATAAGTACAACGGAACTTTCTTAAATTAACTTAAACTCTTAAATCAGTTGACCAATGTTTACTGAAAATGAACAATTAATCAAATGATTTTTAGATAGTTTATGATTGATTGATAGCTATTTAAAATGCCATTACTTTCATTGCTAAATTCATCACACTATAAATTAAAAACTATCATAGGAAGTTTGTTCTTTGAACAATTTAAGTATTTGAAAATGTGAAGTTAATTGAATTAATCAAAATTTGCACACTTTTTTATGAAAGACAATCAAATTACTGCAAGATATCCAATCAAAAACATAAATGAACCACACAGACATAGACACGCACAGACACACACACATACACACGTATACACACACATATACACACACAGACACACACACATTAATGTCTCGATAAACGTAATAGAAATATTTTTAACGAAATACATCAAAAAAGGAAAAAATGACTCATGCAAATTTAGATAAAATTCGGTGGTTTTATTTTTCAACTAAAAATTTCCTTTATTGGCATATTAATTCAATATATTGTTAATCTTTGCAAATTGATAGTGTCCAACGGTCAATGATCGGATCAGATTGAGTTAGTCAAGAATAGCATTTTACAGTTTACTTTGTTTACTCAAACATCTCACACCAATTATTTGATAATGATTTGAGTGAATTAAAGTGAAGTAATTATTTAATTTTACCGTTAAAAGTACACTTCAATTATCATGTCTAAAAAAATCATCATACTTTATCAAATTGATATGAATTATCTACACTAATTTTTTCTTTTTTAAATTACAACTGCAGAAGCAAATTATTGAAACTTTACCACCGGATTAAAAGGCGAAAGACCATATAAATTGCAAACAAATCGAAAAAACAAAAAGTGCGACATTAACGCTACCTGGGAGAATACAAAGTTTTAGCCAGAAGTTTATTTTAAAAAATGACGGTTTTGTTAACTCTTTTTAAAGATACAACAAAAAGTCTGCCCTTTCACAATCTGTGTAGAAAGTTGAAAGATAATTCTTTTTCTCTTTTGCGAACTACTACAACTATTGATTTATTTTGACTTTATTAAGATGGAATATTTTTCGGTTTATTATAGATAGTCTTTTTTAACAATTAAACTTCCATTAATCATTGCATAACAAGAGAACACTGATAATAATTTATCAGCAACTATCAGCAACTTTCCAAGTTTGGAAAGCACAGTAAATGTGACAAAGTGCAACTTTATTATTATCTCAAAAATGAATGATAAAGCAATTTTTAGCTTTCCATTTTCATCACGGTTAGCAATCAATGGAAAATATCACGATAATAAGGCGAAATAATAATTGTTATCATTGTATGAGTCAAAATATCACAATTTCAAGGCTCGATAAAGTTGTCATTAACAAGTTGACGCGTGTCGGCACAGAGTTCCAAAATAAACTTTTTCAATTTCTATTGCATCGAATTATTTCCCTCACATTCCATTACAGTTCATCTTTTAAAACTACAAATTTAAAAGAATAGAGCATTTTTTAATAATAAAAGGCTGATTTAACTAAACAAAGAAACAATAATTTTTGGCACTTCGAAGCATATCATATAAAAGAGTAAAAACAATTGTTCACTGATGAATGGTGAATAAATTAAAAACAAGGAAGATAAATAAATGATATAATGAAATTAGAAGGAATTAATAAATAAGGAACATTTATGGATCACAGTTGAAAATTTTGGAATATAAGGAATTAAACGAACAGTTAATGGATAAAACTGAGAAGGTACAAAGTAAGATAATGCCATTATTTGAGTAATATGAAAGTGAGCAAAATGAACTTATATGGAATGGAACATAAACTGCAATATCTGAATTTGAAAATAAGATTAGAGAACTTCATTCTATTTAAATAATGTCAATAATATCAATTGAAATTAGTTCAATCTAAAAAACAACTATGATTTGTGAATCATATGCAAATAATGGCAAACAAATTGAATTAGAAAAATAATTGATCTAATAAGAATTTTTGACTAAGCTTACAACAATGATGTTAATTTGTTGGAATTTCAAAAGGTAGCGAAGATTTGGATAACCATGTAAACATTACGAAGTTTAGAAGAATGATAAATTGATCAGAGATGAAGCAGTGTTTGTACTACGGACTAGAAATTTTGATCAAATCAGGTATGTATAAGTGAAAGATTTAATGGTACGGTACCAAGTGGAGCTCCAACATGTTCTGCTAGAGCTCGTTCCGCATCCATTCGTGAGCGGAAGCGCACCAATGCTTCGCCGGCATACTGTGCCGTTCCCCATCGCAGCATTTGAACACTTTCAATTGCTATCTGAAAATCAAATTTCCAATTTTTGAAACAATATTAAATGATGAGTTAAAAAATTCCAGTATATCTTCTACAATATATTTTTTAGTTTTTTAAACCACTGTATCATGTTAATATAGTTTACTGTAGTTTAAGAATGATCGATGAGTAGACCTTATTCATCCTTGCCAAAGGTAATCAAAAAATATGACACATCAAATTAAATATTTTAACTTGAACATATTTGAATCGGTGGAAATATGGATGAATAATCAGAATATATCGTAATATCTTATCCGAACATAATGATATCCTACTGATAAATCAAATTAAATATGTTCGCCGAAATATCCTATCCAAAATTCTAAAATAGTACAATCCTTCATCCTATCACGACTTTACAACCTTTTTCTTAGCAAAATAAATTTTAGAAATATGCCGCATAAAAGAGAGATCTGTGTGTATCATTTTTGTATCATTCGAAATATAAGTTTTCTCTTTTCCTTCGCTCATTCTCGTCCACAATTACCACAGCATTCACTCTCGCTTTGAGTATTATTCCTTTTCTCCCACATGTCATGAACTCAGCACTTAAAACTCATAATGGGTGTCGATTTTTTTTCTTTTTTCATTTCATTTCACGAAGAAGAAAATCTTTTTCGTTGGTCATTTAAACTCTATGGGAATGATTAATTAAAATGATTAATTGAGAAAGCAACCTCCGGACTGGTCTGAAAGTATGCCAAAATATCTTGTGGTGTAATATTTGGGCAAAGTCCGGTAACCAGAACTAGACCGGGTTGCGATTGAAGTGGATAGATACATGGTGATGCTGGTGGACTAAGACATGGCCAATATAACGGTGTAAACGGTGGTACTATTGCTGGTACCAAACTTTGAACAGTTTCTGAAAATCACACATTGGATTTTCAGTGATTCTTTTGATAATTTTGAAGAAAGTTTAGGAAAATTTGAATATTATAAACATCAGATCACAGTCTCTTCATTCTAGATATTTCAGAGGTCAACTTCGCATAGACATGCGTCGAAATTGTCTTAACTGAATTCTTATCTCATGACTGCTTTAAACATTTTGAGATAAGATAAAATGACAAAGGAACCTTTGTTACTGTAATGCGTAATATGTTTTTGTGGTTTTAAAGTTTAACTCTAAAGTAGCTTACGTTGTGGGAAAACCGGTCTTGGCTGCAAAATAAACTGTGGTGGTAACGGCGGGTTTGCCAGAACCAAATTCATATCTTCCGGGCTACATTGAAATACCTCGATATATCGTTGTTTCTTTCCTATTTGCATGTATTTGTTATGAGCTAATGCAGCAGCAGTTGCGGCACTCATCTCCGAATCCATCTGTATGAAAGCTTCTCCACTCGGATGACCTTGCGCATTGTATACCATATGCACTCCATGAAACATTATCAGCACCATTAATCATCAAAATATTTATCGTTAATGTTATCGCATTCTTATCACTCCCGTCATCGCTATTTTCATGACCAGTTAAAAGATAAACACCGTTTCCTCTACCAAGATTTTTAATTTAACTCTCGGACTGTTGCACGGAATTTAATAAGTTATTATTTACAAAGTATTACTAAAACCCCGAGAAAGATGGGAGATGATGAAGAAAACAAAAACGAAATAAAATAGGATGCGGAAAGAAGGATTAAAAATAGATGAAAAAGGTAAGATTGTTGCTTGTAATAAATCTCATATACTTCTCCTCTTCCGAACTAAAGCTCTGAAAAAAATAAGGAAGCAAGTTAGATAATTAAAACATACAAAAGAAAAGGAAGATGAAAGAAGGAAAGACAAGAACGCCACGCCTGATAGCCCTCATAGGAAGCTTTTCTTCAGCCCTCATCGGAAGCTTAATAAAGAAGCGAAATGCAAAGTCTAATACAATTATTATATTTATAATTTGACCAACTTTTTTTTCTCTTTTTCTTTCTCCCTCTCTTTGTATTTTCATCAATCCAATCATCTATCTTTCATCCTCCTCTTTCACACATTTTATTTGTAATTTAGAAGGACTATTTCATACTTAAATTCACGTTATCAGAGTTTCTGTTTCTATAAACAAACCAAAATATAAGGTTATATATCACCGAACTTCTCCTCTTTACTATGCATATTTTTTATTTTTCAGATTAATAAATCATGATTTTCTATCATTACAAGTTTTATCACAACAAAAGTCAAAAATTTCATTTCCAAACGAACCATTTTTTTAATTCAAAATATGATTGATAAAAAGTAATAAAAATTATCAATTTTGATAAGTATTTTTTATCACTTGTGATAGCGTAAGTAAAATAATTCTTGAAATGTATTCATGATCGGAAAAGTTAAAAATTGAAATTTATCATTTTAATATTTGTATGGCATAAAAATTTCAACCAAATGATCACAAATCACTTGAAATAAATTAATTAATCATTAACTGTAATGGTTCCCTGAGAGTGACCAAATTAGCTGTATTCAAGTCAATCATTTATCATTTATTTATCGATAAATTTGAACTGTTTTAATTACCTGAAACATAATGTGTCGAGCGGTTTCGCCCAAAAATTCGACAATATTTTCTACATGAGCTTCATAGGGAAGTCCCCTTAATCTGATACAGTCCTTTCTACTACTCCCATGAACCATCATGCGTTGATCATTTTCCAAATTTCGATTCACCACTTGTTGCACTTCTGCTTGGGTTGATCTATAAGTGAGTTGATTTTTAAACAAGTCAATCTCAACAAATGATTCATAAATTGCTAGAATTCCATGTAAAATTAACAACTAAAAAACTTTGAAAAAAAAGAATAATTATGAATAATTCAATTTTAGCACTATTCTTTAATATATACTTCTTCAACAGTGCCCGAATTAGAAATAACCGAGAAATTGGATAAAATAAGCCAAATAAATGAGATAAATTAACGATATTTTTCTTAAATTTGAAACAACGTCCAATTACAGTCAATAAAAAATGTGGATTAATATAAATAAAAAAATCCATCAAGTTTGCATAACATTTTTTAATAAAAGGGCATGAAAGTGGAGATTTTATATATGACACAATTCTCATGAAACCGTTTATGAGTGTCATTCAACAAATGACACATATTGTGAACTATAATATCTATAAATTGTTATCAGTTGTTGAATCGACTCGATGACGTTATACTGCCAACTAAGCTCTATGCATCCAATGAAACACAAATACAATTCAGGAATTTAAATTTACGAAAAGTGTGTTAAAAGAAAAAAGTCTATTGGAATTTTAGTTTAATGACTTCAGCTGAATGAAAAATAGTATCAGTTTAAGAACGTTGTTGAATAAACTATCGTTAGTAATAGATTTTTGCGACAGATCTCAGTGTATCAAAAGCACCGAAGGCATTTATTTAAATTGTACTTTTGTTAGACTGTAGTGAAATCTTCGAGATATATTATTTCTCAGCACAGAATTCTCGTCTTTTCTTATCCTCTTCATTTTAGAAATCTCTTTTTTTGTTCTTTAACATTTTACATTTTCGAAAGTCTCTTTAATGGATTCGTTGAATTTCATTTAAAAGTTTTGCATATACTAACATGTTTTTAACATTTGCTAATGAAATGGAAAACTTCTGCTTTCCAAACGAAACGGAACAGAAAAAAGCTAATGAACAGCGTCTTAGAAATAAAAAAATGTCTTATACGTCATAATATGGTATATTGTGCTAATAAAAAAATTTATATTTCTTGAAAATTGCTATTCTAGTTTATATTATGTAAAAATTAATAAATTAGTGAGTTATACATGAGGAAAAAGCGTAGGAAGGATCAAAAATGATTTTACCGTTATCGCGACGAATTTAGCAAAAATTTTAAAAGAAAATTAATCTCGCTCCACCACTTATTGCTACTTAGTTTATTCCTGAATTTTCTAGATTATGAAGAAAATGATCGTTAATATGATCGAATATGAGATTTATCATAAATAAGCTTTGTATAGATTTCAAGAAAGAATTCATCTATAATTCTTACTAAAATAACAATTTCCCTGTAAAATATACTGTTGCGTAATCTACATAATAAGCCTTGTTTTCATGCTTTCTAATTACTCAAATTTCACTTTATATTCAGAAAGAAATTACCTGAAAAGTTCGATATATCGAGTACCAATAGTACGTTTATGCTTGGTAAGCGCTTTCTGGCCAGCTTCCTCATTATCAAACATTACAAAAGCATCACCGGTTGGTCGGCCATCACTCTTATTCACAAATAAAATACCGCCATCTGTTACTTTACAACCATTTTCGCCCTCCGCGAAAAATTCAAGCTAAAAGAATGAAAATGAAAAAGTGGATTATGAAATTTGCAAATTTAAAAAAACTAAATTTTACAATTCTGAATCCTGATTAGAAGTTGTTTGCTTATAAATTTTCAGAATAAAAGAATTGTCAAGATTATGGAGTTGCAACTTATTCAATTATGTTAGGAATATTACATGCCATATTACCTAACATAAGACAGATAAGTGCACCCAAAACATGGCACTGAAAGGCTTATTGTCACATTACTTCGCGATCACTCACAACCATCTCCATTTGAGCTTTCTTTTTTCTACCTAACACTGTAGGATATAGCGGAGAGAAAATGTAATTGTTGCTGTCTGCTACTGCTGCTTAATCCCGGTTTAAACCACCGATCATATTTGGCAGCAGAAAAAATCCAACAATTTTTGAATCACTTCCTATATACTAATGCTAATTTTTCTCAAAGATCTGATAGACTCATTCAATTATCATTTTAACCTCCAAACTTTGATAACCTTCTAGTAGTTCGAAATTTAAATTAGGTGTGCTACTTGGAATTTAAATTAGCTTATTAAACGAAGTTATTAAAGTGAAAATGAGATTTTAAATCTAAAATTTAAATGGAAATCTAACAATTTGTGCTTCGGTGCAATCATATGGAAGGCCCCGCATACGAACAATCATGGCACCTGTGCTACCGCGGCTCACAAAACGTACTGCTTCTGAGTTAGAGCCTGTAAATGTAATATATGGTAACGATAATAGATAGAAATAGAAAAAGCGAGATCAGGTAGGCAAGTGTAGAATAGTGGAGAAGCCAGAAGCCAATCGAAAAATTCAGTGAAACTGCGAATTTATGGGAAAGAGAAGGAGTGGAGGAGTAAGATGAGTGAGCATTGGTGATAGCAGGTTAGGAAAGGACAGATATGAAAATAGATACGTACCTACCTATCTAACCCATCTACCTATTTACTTACCTATCTTTCGATCTATCTATCTATCTACAGGGATAACCGAGCACTGGAGAAGTACCAGAAACAAGGAAATAACGATATAAAGAACGGTAGAAACCAAAAACCGCAGTAGTAGCATAAGCTCCAACATTCAGCACCACTCAAAATGGTTGATTTTAAATGCACCTGTTCCAAGTAAAAGTTTTCCATATCTATTTCATTTTCTTTAGTTAGCTTTATCATTCTCATTTTTCAAACAATATTAGTGAGCTTTATTCAGGTGTCATAACAATTGGACGAATGGAAAAAAAATGATATTTTTCATAGATGCATGCAAGTTTGATTAGCTGCTAAATGGCGCAATCATCCTGATCCATCTCCGCTTACTATTTTTCCTTCTTCTGCTAAATACAACAACACCTTCAAAAGGAATTTTATAATTCATTCATTGCATCGCAAGCAGTTCACAATAAAACTAGCAGCAACATTATAAAATTTGCTTGTGTGACGTACATTTTCAAATTGCATGTCATTCAAAGTTAGGCGGATTTATGCTTGAACTGGTTGAATATTACTACATTACTTTGTACATTAGCCGCTAATATTATTTACTAAAAACGAGAAAACTGATTCGTTTGTAAAATGAATCAAAGCTGTAATAATATGATAAAAAAGAATGAAATGAGGCGTCAATGATTATAGCAATAATTATTCATCTTATTATTCTCATCTAATAATTTGCCCACTTTAATTTTTACACATAACTTTAACAATTCCAAAATTATAAGAAGACAGAGGTTAATTAAAACTAAAATTATATGAACTGACATTATCAAATAAAACATCATTTATTTCTATGATTTAATCTTTTCTTAAGATAAATCTCAAGAAATGAAACAGTATATTACAAATGCTAAAATAAAATTAAAGTAGCTGCGTTCTTCGTAGTACTACTACTACTTTTCCTATTCTTATGTTTACCTTATACATCTGCAATTTTTAAAAAGCAAACTCGACAATGAAACACACACAGACACACACATACAGGGCTTCAATACATGCAAACAATACGTCGACACATAACTGTTTGAATAAATAATGGAAGACGTAAAGAACATCACAAACAGCAATATGGCACCATAGGAAATACATTTATTACTTCTCCCTCTTCACAGCACCCATTTCAGAAAAAAACAATAAATGAAATTCCTTTGAAACGTCTCAAAATGATTCTAAAATTTCAAAATCTAAACAAACCACTTCAAAGCTTCACAAAAATATTTCTTCGGCCTAATCCCAGTAATACAGTGATCAATGATCAACAATCACATAGTGATCATTACGAACTTCTCTATTATATCGTAACTTTACATGTTCTTGTAGAAAAAAATGACAAACCTGCGGCAACCTGTAGAAAATCGTTTCCTGTAGCACGGTACACTTCGATATAACGATTGTGCAGGAAATGTCGATGCCTTTTAAGCGCTAATTCACGTTGCTCAGAATCTTCAAACCTTACAAGTGCTTCACCATTGCGTCGACCTTCTGGACTAAGACAAAGTGCGACACCACCACTGCAAAAATTAGCATGTAATGATCTCTTACGAAGAATTGCAATTTTCAAATTGGTAGGTTTCAACAATAAATGACGAAATGGTACATATCTTACTTATTGCTATTTGGAAAAGTTTCTGATAAGATGAGAGAATTGTCATAAATGAATTTGTTAGCATTAGGAACAGACCCATTCATTTCATTGAATTGAGACATGGCATTTATTGAAAATTCTCTCCTTTCATTCACCTTCCCTCAGCCACGCCTAGC